GGGGCAAAGGGAGGGGATCTTGTCCAGTTCTAGATTTATTGGTAAACGTGTCCTTTCTATCTAAGAATCTCATCTTTACTCTGAGTAGGGACAAGGTCATTCCCTTGTGAGTCATGTGAATTTTCTCCGTGCTTGATGCCCCAGAACCTACGCGCAGGGTAGATATTCCTGGGCCACTCAATTATTCTTTAGAATTTACAGCCATGTGAATTTTCCATACATATGACCTTTAATTCATTATTTTTCCTTTGCTAACCCGTCTGATGCTATTTTGATAACTCATCTGGCCCACAAAGAACCCAGCGAGGTACTGGATGATTTATTTTGTGCCTTAACACATTCTACTAGAGTTTTGTTTGTAAAGATATTGACCCTTTAAGATTTGTGCGGCAAGTATTTCCCACTGCAGGTTGTTTGTCTTTTCATTGTTTTTGCAGGTGGCTTCCCAGAAGGTTTTCCTTTTTTAATAAACTTTTTATGGGGGATATTTTCGATCTGGAGAAAAGGAAAAGTGATCAAGATCATACAGAGTTCCTGTGTGCCTTTCACCCATCTCGCCCTAATGTTCAGGTCTTACGTGACCATGGTTTATTTGTCAAACCCATAAGGTTTTATTTTTTTTTATTACTTTTTTCCCACCCACTCCAAAGCCCATACGTTTTTTAAGTGCCTTGCTCATGGGCTCAAGTAACTCTGATATAATCTTCACCTTCCTGTGATGGAAGTACGACTTAAAGCACGGTTGGTTGAAATGTAGAGTATATATTTTTTCACAGACACTGTAATTTTGTGTCTTTTCCAGTCAGACTACAGAGGTCTATTTAATCTATTGCATTTGAAATGTGTCAGTCATAATTTACTAATCCAGCTATAGAATTCATATTGCTATGAGTAACAGTTCCCACATACAAATTCAGAATTTGATTTTGGAGTACTTTGGAGTCTGATAATTCTCCCGAAGGATCTCATTTGGGGTCACTTCTATTAGGGTTCCATTTAATGTCTCAGTCTCCTTTCTAGGAAGCTGCTTGTTCTCTGGGGTTAAAAGGCAAAAGTGAGAAGCATGAGTCACATCCTCCTGAATAGAAGTAAAATGCCCTTACCCAAAGAGAGCTATCATCTTTCTCTCTGAACCAACAGCTTCCCTAGAGATAGTTTGATAAGGTGGATTTTGGTCTGAAATGGCCTTTCCCTAGACCTGAATGGGATTACTTTGGCTACCTGGATGGTCCAGTGTGACAGAGTAGTGACCCAGGGCTTGAGGACAGACGTTCTGGGTGCCTGCTACATTTCCCATCAGCTCTGGAGCTTTGTGTAAATCACTTTCCCTTTCAGGTCTTACTTCCTCATTTTCAACGATCTCTTTCTGGCAGGAGATTTTTCTCATTTAGTCTCCAAACAGATTTTATTGAGGGTGATGGACATACTTCTGAGGTTGATTATGATGCTGGTTTTATGGGTATATACATGTACCAGAAAGCTGTTTTAAGGATATGCAGTGTATTACATGCCACAATTTATTATATGTCACGGCTTATTAGACATCACATACACCTGAAGATAGCTATCTGAAAAACAGATTTTATCCAGCTTCTAGAATAATGAGGAAGTAGGCTGATATGTTCATCTGATAAGGATCTGTTTACTTTGTTACAGAAATACAGTACTTTCTACAGTTTTCTCTATAGCCTCCTACTAAGTAAGCCTTGTGCTTTCTCCTCCTATAACTTCTTCCATCTTATTTTTTTTATATAAAGATTTTTATTTATTCACATGGAACAGGGGTACAGGCCAGAGATATGGAGGGTGGGATGATTCACCAGAGACACATGGAGGGAAGCAGAACAGGCAGATCGACAAAGTACACTGCTGAGGGGAGCAGCGAGCGGGTCAGGAGAGGTCTGCCACGCCATGTGGTCACCTCCGGGGCAGGCGGGGATCGAACTCATGCGGAAGTGGCTTTAGCTTCTTAGTGCTGTGCTTTAACCCGCTGCGCCACCAGGGAGGGCCCATCTTGTTTTTTTAATTACTATTTGCATCCACCCCTGGGAGTATTCTTTCTCTTCCTGTCAGGCATCATCTGGAGCTTTTTTCTCCTTTGGATGTCCCAACGTGTATAACTGAGGGATTCAAGTTTCTTTTAGATGAATCTGTCAACAGGCAGACTGAAGGGCACCCCAGACCCCCATACCCACACACTCTGTTCGGCCATCCATTGCATAAAGACGAGCATTTTCTTAGTGTGAAAGAACTTTAATAAGTTTGTGCGCCTAGAAAATAATTTCCCAGTAAAACACTCAAAGTTACTCATTGCCTTGAGGGTAAATGCTCAGCCAAACAGGGCTGGCCCAAAGCAGAGCCCCTGAGGCTGAAAAGCTGCCACAAATCTAAAGCACCTTCTAGTGGCAAGTCTGGGGTGAAGGAGTCCTCATCAAGGTAAAGGCTGCCACTGTCAGCCTCCCCACAGGCCTTTCACCCCTTATTTCTGCTATATCTCCACTCCATATGTCTCCTCCCATGTCCCCCCAAGTCCCTGCTTTAAGTTCGAAGATGAGAAGCAAGTGGGACTCCTCCATGTGTCTCTGCTCCATGTGCCTCCTCTAAGACTTCTTCTAAGTCTGGCATCTGCCCCTTGCTGCTCAGCTGCACCCTTCATTAGGTGGGGCAGAGGACATGGAACCCCTTTTCATGGAGATTACATTCTGTGACACCCCCTCAACAACCCCCCCCCCCAATCCTTTTCAGGAAGAAAAGAACTATCATGTCCCTAACATTGAGAGTGAATTCAATTCTTTGGGTAGTACCGCTCAGCAAAAATGGAAAACATACTGCTGTGGAGCTAAAGCAAATTCATACAATGGAATTTCACAATTGGGTGAAGAAATGCTAGGCCGTTGCCATGGAGGTGTCTCTCTGCCTCTCCCCTGCAACACCCATCAGCAGGCACCTATGCCCTGCCTGGTACAAGTCCCTCACCAAGGACTCATGATTCTTCCACTGAAATCTCTTGAAGATCATCTCACATATTCCCTCCACCACTACCTAGTCTAATGCCTTATCTAAAATCTGAATTTCTCCAGTAAACTCCTTACCTGGATCCCTGCTTAATGTATCTCTCTGCCCTGCTACCATCCTGCAGATTCAGATTCTCAGCGCCACCTTCATCAGCACTGATCAGCTCAGAAACTCCGCCCTTCCTTCCCTCCTTGAGGTGTAAACTCTACTTGGATTGACCCACCTCCTTTCTGACCCTTCCTGTCACACACGTGGTCAAGACCACCATAAGGGGGCAACTTCCTCCCTAGCCCATCGCGTGCCTCTTCTGTTAGCAGTTCTCCACCTTTTTCGTCTTTCCAGCCCCAGAAATCCAGGTTTTCCTTGGCTAATAAGACTTTGCGCAAGCCCTATCTTTTCTAAGAAGCTTTGCTGATTCTCCAAGTACAATCATTTCAGGTCCTATGCCACTGTTTATTTGACAGGTGCTGGAGACAACAGGAAGAATCGTGTTCTCTGCTTTTTGGTCTCTGTCTTCTCCCTGACACTCAAGAAAATGCAAAACACAAATTAATCCAGGAATTTCTTAAGGCGGAAATTATCTGTTTATCATCTATTTATCTACCTGCTGACCTAAGTAGTACTTGTGAATTTTAACCCAGGAATTTAAACTGTGTGCAGATGAAGAATTTGATACACAGAGGACAAATGGAAATTTCTTTGGGTCTGTTTGTGGTTTATTCTTGATAGGTGGGATATAATATGTGTGAATGATTAAAATGCACTAAAGTATGATTCTTCCATATAGGTAGGTATATTTTCTTCCTATGCAATGAAGCACAGATTCAGGTGAATGCAATCTATGTTTCACCTTCATTAAAAAATTAGAATATATGGTGCCCTCCCTGGTGGTGCAGCGGGTTAGAGCACAGCACTAAGAAGCTAAAGCCACTTCAACCTGAGTCCCTGCCTGCCCTGGAGGTGATCCATATGGTGTGGCAGACCTCTCCTGACCTGCCTGCTGCTCCCCTCAGCAGTGTACTTCCATGATCTGCCTATTCTGCTCCCCACTCTGTCTCTGGTGAAGCCTCTCACTGCCCCTACACCTCTGGCCTGTACCCCAGTTCTGTATACACAGACAAATAAACCTTTAAAAAAATCAGAATATATGATATGATCTAATTAATGTGTGTTAAGGCCTATCAGGGATGGTGGTAGGGATAAAAAACTCTAGAACACAGAATGACCTTTGGAAATATATACTCTAAGAGGGTTTCTTTGACTGGAGGGATTATTGGTGACTAAGGAAAACACCTCATTTTTACCCAACCTTTTCATAACAAGCAATTTCATTGTCATAATCAGAAAGACATTTTCATTTTGGGAAAAAAACCCACCGAAACAGGGACATCAATTTGGTCCAAATGTAGATGGATCACTTTAGAGACAGTCCAAAATTGAATATTAAAAGGCCTTCTGTTTTGTTTTAATATCAAGTGAAGATGGGAATGGGCCACATCTACAGGGAGACTCAGCAGATGTGGACTGAGTGATTGCAGTGTTTCAGGGTAAACATTATAAAAATAAACAAATGAGCTAACTAATGGAATGTGATAGACAGGATGCCTGAGTAATTACTATAAATTCTGTGCCCTTTTTTTTTTCTTTGTCAGAGACCCAGAAAGGACTTTAACCTCTGGGTCTACTAATCTGGCTTCTATCACTGGGGAAGCTGGTAGCACTCTATGTTCTAAATCCTGAACCCACCATTTGTCCTTGGGAAGCTCTGGCAACTATGTTTTCTTTCCATCAAAGTTTATCTCATTGTGGGAACAGAAAATATACAGGTTGGTGATATCACACAGGTGGGTATCTATAACCTTGAGAATTTTACATACAGGTGGGAATTTTACCATGTGGAAATTTACTCCAGTTCTTAGCCACGGCCAGATCAGCCTTAGCCCTGGTCCCTATAAATAAAGTTCAGGAGTCGCTGAACTCTGGACTCTGGGAAAACGCTTAACCATGAGGTTGCTCTTGCTTTTTGGTGCCCTTTTGGGGCATATCTACTGTCTGCAGACATTTGTGGGGTAAGTGAGCTTTCTGGTGCTTGTTTGAATTTTGCTTCTCTGAGGCTCAAGAGTGTCTCGCTGGATGGATGCAGAGTACTAGTTGTGAGTGATTGGCATTTTCAGAATTCTTTTAGATGAGGAAAGGGTAGAGTAGGAAAACAAGAATGGTGATAAAAAAAAAGCGATGAAAAAAGAAGAGATGAAAGGCATTTCAAGGGAAAAAAGAAAGCTGAACACATATATCCTGTTTTTCTGTCCTTAGGATTTTCCCCTCTGCTGCTCACAATGCAGGAATGACATGCGTCTGTGAAAAGAAAGCTGTGTAGCTGTTTATGTCCTCACCATCTTATTAAAAGACAGTTGCTCTCCCATTTCTCCCATTTCTTTACCCCGGGTGTCCTTTGTCGGTCCTTGTGCTCCCTATTATCAGGTCTGGCACCCAGACAACGGGTCCTGGAGAGAGGGAGGATCAGGATGCAAATTTTGGCCCTACTCCAGTGCTCTGGGCCTTACAGAGTTCATCCCTATTCCCAAGTACTTTGGTGTCAAGATTTTTTTTTTTTTTTAAAGATTT